ACTGAACAACAGGTAACAGGACTGAACAACAGGTAACAGAACTGAACAACAGGTAACAGGACTGAACAACAGGTAACAGGACTGAACAACAGGTAACAGGACTGAGTTTTTAGCATAAAGTTAGAAAATAAATGAAATATAGCCACATGGCATCCTTGCTATTAGCATGAAGCAACTGAGCTCATTCCAGTGATTTACCTAAAAAAAAACAATTTTTAATTAACAAATGAAAACAAAGATATAATTTAGGTAACAGGAGAGTATGCTGAGATTGACCTTTTCAGCCATTGTTGAAACATGATCAAATTCACATAAAACTAAATGGAATAATTTACTTTTGGTCTTCCCGTGACCTTTAGAAGGTCAAACTGATGAAACTTCATGTTGACCATGTCACTTCTGGATGGTTCCAAACTTTTCAAATAGGCTAATATGTTATGGTAACAGGACTGAGTGAAAACCAAGGGACACAACTAAAATGTGTATTTTAACAAAAATATAATTATTTATTTTGAAAAAAAATATGTAAACCATAAAAGGGATTAGCAGTCACACAAAAAATCTCAGTTCTTTAGGATTTTATTTATTATGTTTTATTGTAAAGTGTAAGGTTACAGACAAAAGCTGTTTCTTCAGTATTCTTGGTAGTTTTTAATAATCATCTTCATCATGTATCTTAAATTTGCAATTGGATCACATGCAGGACATTTTCTTTCATAAGAAAATATATTTTGCAGCTAATTTTTATACACATTTATAGATATAATTTCAGGGGGGCGTAAAAGGCCCCCATTCGGTGGAAGACCCAGAGGAGACTGTGATGATCTATAAGGAGCGTTTGTAACCAAGGCAGAGAGAGACTGAGTCCAGCTTACGAAGGACACCCTTAACATGTCTAAATCATGTCTCCGTGATCCAACACGGGTAGAATGGTTTTGTTTTTTCAACAATCGTGCGTTTTGCAGCCAATCGAAGATCAATTTCTATACACAGCAGATAACCAAGTCTGGCTTTAACTTCAGATTGTAAAACATTAACAAGACGTGAAAGGGCCGAGCTCCATCAATACAAAGTCAAAGATATTTATTTAAATACAAATTCACAGATATTTATTTAAATACAAATTCACAGATATTTATTTAATGTTAGCTCTTCTATAATTTCACTGAAGTCCACCAAGGTGGGTATAGTTCCTCCATGACCGAACCACAAACATTTAGTTTTGTTGGTATTGAAGGACAAATTAGTCAGAAAAGTCCTGCTGGATTTACTTTGCAACCTCGTCCAGAGTAGATCCATGAAACGGTGTTATCGGCCTGTACAGCTGCTGCTCATAAAATTAGAACATCGTGAAAAAGTTCATTTATTTCAGTCATTCCATTCAAAAAGTGAAACTTGTAAATTCATTCATTACACACACTGATATATTTCAGATGTTTATTTCTTTTAATGTTGATGATTATAACCGAGGGCAGCACGGTGGTGCAACTGGTAGAGCTGCTGCTTCTCAGCGAGCAGGTCCCCGGTTCAAATCCCAGTCCGGGGGCCCTTCTGGGTGGAGTTTGCATGTTCTCTCCGTGCATGCGTGGGTTTTCTCCGGGTACTCCAGTTTCCTCCCACAAACCAAAAACATGCATGTTAGGCTGATGGTGACTCTGAATTGTCTCTAGGTGAGAGACTGAATGGTTGTTTGTCTCGTTTGTCTCTATGTGTCCCTGTGATGGACTGGAGACCCGTCCAGGGTGTCCCCCGCCCCTCGCACAGTGATTGCTGGACATGGGCACCAGCGACCCCCGTGACCCAAAATGGAAGAAGCGGGTAAAGATAATGGATGGATGGATATCATAACCAAAAACTAATGAAAACCCCAAATTCAGTATCTCAGAAAATTAGAACATTGTGAACAGGTTCAGTACTGAAGACACCTGGTGCCACACTCTGATCAGCTGATTAACTCAAAACACCTGCAAAGGTCTTTAAATGGTCTCAGTCTAGTTCCGTAGCTGCACAATCATGGGGGAGACTGCTGACTGGACAGTTGTCCAAAAGACGACTATTGATACCTTGCAGAAGGAGGGCAAGACACATGAGGTCATTGCTAAAGAGGCTGGCTGTTCATAGAGCTCTGTGTCCAAGCACATTAACAGAGAGGCGAAGGGAAGGAAACAATGTGGTAGAAAAAGTGTACAAGCAACAGGGATAACTGCACCCTGGAGAGGATGGTGAAACAAAACCCATTCTAAACTGTAGAGGACAATTACAGAGTGGACTGCAGCTGGAGTTGGTGCTTCAAGAACCACCACACTCAGACGTATGCAAGACATGGGGTTCAGCTGTCACATTCCTTGTATCAAGCCACTCTTGAACAAGAGACAGTGTCAGAAGCGTCTCCCCTGGGACTGCTGCTGGGTGGTCCAAAGTTCTGTTCTCTGATGAAAGTACATTTTGCATTTCCTTTGGAAATCCAGGTCCCAGAGTCTGGAGGAAGAGGAGAGGCACAGAATCCATGTTGCTTGAGGTCCAGTGTCAAGTTTCCATAGTCAGTGATGGTTTGGGGGGGCCCATGTCATCTGCTGGTGTTGGTCCACTGTGTTTTCTGAGGTCCAAGGTCAACGCAGCATCTACCAGGAAGTTTTAGACTTCCTGCTTCTGACCTGGTTTAAGGACCATGGTATCCCAGTTCTTAACTGGTCAGCAAACTCTCCTGACCTCAACCCCATAAAAGATCTATGGAGTATTGTGAAAAGGAAGATGATGCACCAGATCCAACAATTCAGAAGAGCTGAAGGCCACGATTAGAACCTGGACTCTCAGAACCTGAGCAGCGCCACAGACTGATCCACTCCATGACACGATGCATTGATCCAGACAACAGGAGCAACAACTAAGTACTGAAGCTGAACATGTTCATGCTTTAAAGTTGGACATTTCTAAAAATCATTGTTTTTATTGGTCTGAATATTCTAATTTTCTGAGATACTGAGTTTGATGTTTTCATTAGTTGTCAGTTTTAATCAACATTAAAAGAAATAAACATTTTAAATATATCAGTGCGTGTAGTGAATTAATATAATTTACAAGTTTCACTTTTTGAATGGAATTACTGAAATAAATCAACTTTTCATGAAGTTCTAATTTTATGAGCAGCACCTGTAGACGAATAACTTACCTGAACTGTGAACGTGGTCCAGATCAGTTCTTCAGACTCCCTGCAGGTCTCAGTTTTTCTTTAGACTTCAGTATTTGTCTGTTTCAGTCTGTTACTGAACATTTTAGACCCCTGACCTTTGACCCACTTTGTTCTCATTAATTTGGCCGAACAGCAAAGTTTGACAGAAATCAGGACTTGGTCTCCACTGAGGAGATTCTTAAAGAGCTGAAAACCTTCAAGTCAAGTTTGTTGTTTCTTCTCTCAGCACCAGGATCGCTCAGAGCTCCGAGACCGTGAACCACTACATGGGGGCTCTGCAGACCCACATGGCTCCCGTGACTCAAGACTTCCTGACCCGGTTCACCCAGGAGGCCGAGCAGCTGAAGGCCCGCCTGGAGAACGACATGACGTCCGTCAGCACCAACATGAGACCCTACGCCGAGCAGCTGGTGGAGAAGATCCAGACCCAGGTGGAGGAGCTGCGGAAGGAGGCGGCCCCCTATGCCGAGTCCATGAACCCCGAGGCCCTGAAGGCGGTCCTGCTGCAGAAGAGTCAGGAGCTGAAGGGGCAGCTGGAGACCAATGTGAACCAGGTGCTGGACCAGATGGCACCCCTCAACGAGGAGATCAAGCAGAAGATGGAGCGGAGCCTGGAGGACTTCCAGGGCAGCATGATCCCCCTGGCCTCAAGCTTCGAGACCCAGCTGGCCCAGAAGACCCAGGAGATCCAGCAGAACCTGGTTCCCTTTGGAGAGGACCTGAAGGCTAAGCTGGACTCGAGTGCTCAGGACCTGCAGGCCCAGCTGACCGCTCTGTGGGAGTCCTTCACCCAGAAGACCCAGTAGACGGACTCGAAATATTTATTCAACTTCTGCTCAGGAAATAAAAACGTCCAGTTCTGAACTCGCCTGAATTTATTTACACTCAATAAAACATTTCAACACAAGAGCTGCTGGATCCTAAAAGTGCTGAGTCAGCGTTCTTCAGACTCCTCCCCTCCAGCTGCAGACCGCCCCACTTTTACTTTTAGCTACTGTCGTTTCATTTAGCTGCTAGCTACGTTCTCGCTGAACTTAGCTTTCAGCTGGTCCTGAGAAACGTAGCTTCAGCTAGATTTTATAAACTGAGCTGGTTTCTGTTATCCATCCATCCATCCATCCATCCATCCAACCACCCACACATCCAACCATTCATCCATCCACACATCCATCCAACCATCCATCCATCCACACATCCATCCATCCATCCATTCATCCACACCCAACCATCCATCCATCCACACATCCAACCATCCATCCATCCACACATCCAACCATCCATCCATCCATCCATCCATCCACACCCAACCATCCATCCATCCACACATCCAACCATCCATCCACCCACACATCCAACCATTCATCCATCCACACATCCAACCATTCATCCA